TAGTAGTAGTAGTAGTTGTATATAAATAAGGACTCCAAAGGTAGATATAACACAACCATTTAGACAATTGTATCAATAATTTTCTTTTATTATTATCATACCATCAAATATTTTCTATGCATAGTTTTAAAATAGCTGGATTGTGTAATGGGTTGATAAATGTCGGTAAAGGTGAAACTTTTATTTAAGTTTTTGTGTAAGGAAACAGATCATTTGTAAACTATCTGCAATAATGATGTTGTTGAGTTTTTTGGGGTTTTTTTGTGGACCATTGTTTTTCCAAAGAATTGCTATGGTTTTGTTCCCCTGACTTGATAGCAACATTTTGGTATATATCCATCTTCTTCTCCACCTTCCTTAACAAATATTATCAACAATAATGCAATTTCATTTTTTCTAAATAAACGGTTGACAGGTGTACAGTATATTTGCGATTATTTAATTTGCATAATTTTCTTAAGACAATGCATTCCGCATTAATGTTAATGTTCTAAAAATATATTTTATACGTATCCTCTCCGAAAGGGTTTTTACATTATAAGATATTTTTAACGAATGATGATATGCACTTTTCCTATTAATCAATAAGATGTATAGATATGTTATTTACTTTGATATTTCATAGGTATTTATGCATTAAATAAGAAATACATTTATTGAACACACCGGTGTGTAGAATAAATATAAATCTTCCGCATGTCATATAAAAACAATGTGCAAAAAAAAAATTCTATCTTTATCACAATTTTAAAATATTAAAATGGATAAGTTAAAATTGTACATAACATTTCTGTTAACAAATAGTGTAATCACATTAATATGCTGCAGTAGAAACTCGTTATATTGCCATCAGTTATTATCGAAACGTTGGTGATTTAAAGGTGTTTGTGGATTTACCAAAGGAGACGTGTAAATGGGTTGTTATACACACAAAACAGATAATTTGATTTAAATATACGTTGGTCATTGGTAAAATAGATAATGATTGGAGGCATTATAACAAAGTTTTTCTCGCATAACGTCTTAGATAAATATACTGAATTTTATGCTGTCTTTAACTTTCCCTGCATTTCTTGTGATTTTTGTGATTTTTGTCCATGTCCGTGTTTGTTTCATGTTCTCATATCAAAGATGCTGCTCATATTCTGCTCGTGCTTATTGAGCTAGAACATCCGGCAAGGTCACCTTGATCCAATATTAGGCAATGCCGTAAATGAATTGAAACGTCTGACGAGGCTTGCCTGAAATTCAAATGAAACAAATATTATATATGAGTAACAAAAATATATAGCAATTAAGATCAAATCGCTGTTAATACATGACGCAACATATTGAACAACATAACCTCATTTTACTTTCAAACATGTCTTTTCTGACCTTTCTGTCTGTCTGTATGTATGTCTGTCCTGTCTGTTTGTCTGTCTGTCTGTCTGTCTGTCTGTCTGTCTGTCTGTGTTGGTTAGCGCTGTAAAATTATTGATGATATATTTCTAATTCGATTGTTTTAAAATAGGTATAATCTTGGACTAGTCATAAGCTGTTGACGCCATTAAAGTTGTCATACTGTTAATATATGACTGTTAAGGATATTTCATTGTGTAATAGCAATATACGTACTTGTTGATAGCTTGTTGCCTTTTTGAAGGGTGTCGGGACGCCATTGGTTAGCGCTGTAAAATTATTGATATTATATTTCTAATTAGATAAAAAATGAAATATTCGACTGTTTAACAGTTTTATGAAAGTGATTTTTATTTAATCATATATATTTATATGTTTAACCTTACATTGTGTGTCATACATTTTAGATGACAAGTTTTACATTGTTTTTACACTGTATCACCTCTCGGCTGAATTGTTATAATCAGCTTGACTGGTTCGACTTGGTGTTCGACTAATCCAATATCAACTGAAGGGGGTTTTCATGTTGTTGGGGTGTTTTTTTTTCAGGTTCAAATATTTTATTTCCTCGGCAAGTGTTTACGGAGGAAGCCAGGGTTGAGGAGCCCTGGGATCTTCCTCCTTTACATTGTATTGTCCTCTCATAGGAGGGTTTTCGTTCAACATTCATCTTTCTGTCACTTTCTTTCATCATATTTCATAAATTTAGTAAATTTAGTTGAGGTACTAAAACATTTGAACCTAACATAAAGGACGAACACTTACTTACACACTACATGTACATATAATAACATGTATACAAACATACACACACATATATATATACATTCATCTACACAAAAATTATAACATAAATAAACAAATTTGCACACAAACATACATTTGAAAACATGAGACAACACTAACATAAATAAGTATAAATTATGTGCAAAAATTGTCTATTCTCCGGTTGTGTAATAAAGAAGATTAAGGAAAGAAATGGTCTCTATAGATATTTGATTTTGTACAAAACATACTTATGAAAAAAAAAATAACTGTTATTGTGCATATAATATGGCATATTGTCAGGGTGTCCCTATCAGTGGGGACCATTTTCTCCAATATCCTATAAACCTATCTGACTCATATTTACTATTTGAAATGTGTTTTTGTACTTTGTATGTTTCCTGAATTACATTGAGAAGTGCTAATATAGATAGTTTATTTTAAAAACATTTTGTTTTATAAATATAATATTTAATTACCAAGTTTATTAAATTGTCAACTTCCGCATCTGGTCCGTCTGCACAAATTATACCAAAAATAAATTGTTTTTTATTCAATGAGTAGTTGATATGAAAAATTTTGATTAACCTCTCAAAATTATGAAGCAATCTTTTAAATTCTTGGCAGTCCCATAGAATGTGTTCAATAGTTTCCCGATGTGTTTTACAGAAAGAGCAAAATGAATTTTCAACTAATCCCATTTTAAATACAAGAGAGTTAGTAGTTAGAATGTGATGATTGATCCTGTACTGAAACCATTGTAGTTTAGAGTTTTTAGTGATCCGGAAAGGAAGTTTATATCTGTTTCCATGACTCCTCACTGATAGTATAATTTTCCCACTTTTGTTTGCCAGTTGGTATAACATTGTTTTGGGGGTTTTCATGTTAATAAATAATGTATATCATTACAAGTGTATAATGAACATGCAGGTAAGAAACGTATGTATATACTATCAATAAAACCTTTAGTAAATATACAGTGTATAGTTCATTATTTCCTTTTAGAATGTTACTAAATGAAGCCATGCATGAACTAATAGCAAACCATAAATACTTACCGTATTTAGCTACTGTATAGTTTGTAGGTTTCGTCTTAATAACCTTTAAATAAAGGAAATTAATTTTGTTTTAAAAGGGAGGAAACACTTTCGGAATCATTTCAGTCAGTGCCTCATTATCTGATCATTTTGCTCCATAGCATATGTTCACGCGCATACTTTTCGCAAAAAACTCGTTCCTATTTGTAGGACAACGTTATTATATATATATATGTCCAATCTTTTTCTTTAACAACCTATCAGCTAGCATATATTACCTGTATTTTGTAATTTTCCTTTGAGGATAAGGCGGCTGATGTCAGCAACTTTATCTTTCTCTCCAACGCTCGGCGGATCTATGTCATTAAAAAATGCTTCAATCCATGTAAAGGGTGCAAAAAATATGAAAGAAACAAATAGCTATAAACAATTAACTATCGATTATTTCAAATGAGATAAAATATACAATTTGAAATTAAATGTCTCTGCAATATACATGAGGGGATGGACAGGATTAACAGTAAGGAGTTGTTACCCTTGGGATGATACAATCGATTTTGGATTTCTATCGCAATGGAATGTCAGAGTTGTTTAATGACATAGAACAACATTACAACAAATCATTGAAAATCCTAGTAAGTTTAGCATCCGATACCGCTTACATTACAAAAACTCATCAAGTCTGATAGTCAACATGATGATAGCTACCTCGTTTATGTGAAATATAAATACAAAATATATATACAAAATTACTCACCGGAACACTGAATACACAATAGCACAGGAATATGAAAAAGCCCTGTAAAACAGTTTAAATTGAATTCAAACATTTTTAACGGACGTTCTTAGAATACAATCGTGTATGACAAATGGCTCCAAAAGTAAATACCCTGCTCCAGAAAGAATTCTGAGAACTGACTTTGTTTAAGATAAAAATAATTTAATGTTTAATAACACTTAATCTTTATCTTTGTTCAAGTCTTAATCCTCATAATCATTAGAATCTGGTAAACTTTACTTAAATGTAACGATTCATGGTACGTACGTGATTTCATGCATGACTTCTCCATTTATTAACAAGTTAAAAGAAGCGGATAATAAAATTTAATATAACATAACTTTAACTAAAAAAGTTACAAAAAAAAATGATAAATGTGCAGTAAAATTCTTTTCACTGAAAACGTAAAAAAGAGTTATGGAAAAATAATCTTCAAATATGTTGACGGTAAACGAGGTGACAATGCAACGAGGGGTATTACATCGATGTTTTCTTGTACATTACATCGATGTTTACTGTACATAACATCGATGTTTTACTGTACATTACATCGATGTTTACTGTTCATTACATCGATGTTTTCCTGTACATTACATCGATGTTTTCTTGTACATTACATTGATGTCTTACTGTACATTACATCGATGTTTTACTGTAATAACATTGATGTTTCACTATACATTACATCGATGTTTTCCTGTACATTACATCGATGTTTTCCTGTACATTACAGCGATGTTTTACTGTACATTACATCGATGTTTTCCTGTACATTACAGCGATGTTTTCCTGTGCATTACAGCGATGTTTTACTGTACATTATAGCGATATTACTGCGATGTTTTATTGTAAATTACACCAATGTTTTACTGTACATTACATCGATATTTTACTGTGCATCACGTCGATGTTTTACCGTACATTACATCGCTGTTTTCCTGTACATTACAACGATGTTTTCCTGTACATTACATCGATGTTTTCCTTTACATTACATCGATGTTTACCTGTACATTACATCAATGTTTTCCTGTACATTTCATAAGTGTTTTCCGGTAGATAACAGCGATGTTTTACTGTACATTACATCGATGTTTACTGTACATTACATCGACATTTTACTGTACATTACATCGATGTTTTCTTGTACATTACAGCGATGTTTACTGTACATTACAGCGATGTTTTCCTGTACATTACATCGATGTCTTACTGCTCATAACATGATTGTTTTCCTGTTCATTACATCGATGTACATCTTTACATTACATCGATATTTACCTGTACATTACATCGATGTTTTCCTGTACATTTTATCGATGTTTTCCTGTACATTACAGCGATGTTTTACTGTACATTACAGCGAAGTTTTACTGTACATTACATCGATGTTTTACTGTACATTACATCGATGTTTTACTGTACATTACAACGATGTTTCCCTGTACATTACATCGATGTTTTCCTTTACATTACATCGATGTTTACCTGTACATTACATCAATGTTTTCCTGTACATTTCATCAGTGTTTTCCGGTAGATAACAGCGATGTTTTACTGTACATTACATCGATGTTTACTGTAAATTACATCGATGTTTTACTGTACATTACATCGATGTTTTCTTGTACATTACAGCGATGTTTACTGTACATTACATCGATGTCTTACTGCTCATAACATGATTGTTTTCCTGTACATTACATCGATGTTTTCCTTTACATTACATCGATATTTACCTGTACATTACATCGATGTTTTCCTGTACATTACAGCGATGTTTTACTTTACATTACAGCGATGTTTTACTGTACATTACAGCGTTGATTTCCTGTGCATTACAGCGATGTTTCACTGTACATTACAGCGATGTTTTACTGTACATTACATCGATGTTTACTGTAAATTACATCGATGTTTTACTGTACATTACATCGATGTTTGACTGTTCATTTCACCGATGTTTTACTGTTCATTACATAGATGTTTTACTGTACATTACAGCGATGTTTTAATGTACATTACATCGATGTTTTCCTGTACATTACATCGATGTTTTCCTGTACATTACAGCGATGTTTTACTTTACATTACAGCGATGTTTTACTGTACATTACAGCGATGTTTTCCTGTACATAACATCGATGTCTTACTGCTCATAACATGATTGTTTTCCTGTACATTTCATCGATGTTTTCCTTTACATTACATCGATATTTACCTGTACATTACATCGATGTTTTCCTGTACATTACAGCGATGTTTTACTTTACATTACAGCGATGTTTTACTGTACATTACACCGATGTTTTACTGTACATTACATCGATGTTTTACTGTACATTACATCGATGGTTGACTGTTCATTACACCGATGTTTTACTGTTCATTACATAGATGTTTTACTGTACATTACAGCGATGTTTTCCTTTACGTTACATCGATGTTTACCTGTACTGTACATTACATCGATGTTTACTGTACATTACAGCGATGTTTTCCTTTACATTACATCGATGTTTTACTGTACATTACATCGATGTTTTACTGTACATGTTTTTTCGGTACTGTTTAATAAACCATTTACTCAAAATATTTGTAGTGGTTTTTATCTACATGTAGTGATATATTACCTGTAATGAATTCGCTAATGCAAACACATACTGGAATACGACAAGGTCAGCATTCACAGCTAGTATTCCAAACAACCACGTGACCCCCAAAACCGGAAGTAGTATCGATATGCTCCGTACGCCAGTCCTATATATATTAAATGATTTTGGCAATAATTAACAACAAAGCAATATTAAAAAGATGACATACTTAATAAACGGTATAAACCACCACAGCGTCGTTAAAATGACCAAAATCTTAAGTATCTGTATAACCGTAACGTCACCGGTTTTATCACATACCTGTTGAATCTTGTTATAGTAATACAACCTATTTTCAGACCATGAAATACAACGTTCTGTATTGCACATTTACCTTCTAGCCGGAACTACTTTTTATGGGAATCCCCTTGTCATGGCGAACTGAAAAGTTTCCGGTATTTGCAAACAATATCAAAGTTCATTAAATCTTTGTATCGATCTCTACCAAATACGGAAGGTATGTGATAAAAGCAAGACCACACACTTGTGTTTTTCTAACGAATCAGAAAGCACGAGTTTATTGCGCGGACGAATATATTCACGGATGCGCGGACCGCGCACGAGTCAATATATAATTCCGCACAATAAACTCGTGCTTTCTGATTCGTTAGAAAAACACAAGTGTGTGGTCTTACATATATATGAGTCTGATGTTTTAACATTGCTGCCACATGTGCTGTAATTTCGGTCTTTGACAATCTGTTCTGAAATCTGATTTAACAATGCAACGCGGCATGCGTGGATGTTTGTTTCCTCAAAAAGCATATCATTCAACCAATCGTTTTAATACATCCTTAATGCAATATATACACAAAGTATTATGTACATTGTACTATTTCCATAGGCATGACAATGTCCTAATTTATTAAAGTATACGTTCAACTTCTGTTTACAGTGTATTCATTAATAGCATGAGCACTACTGCTACAATTGCATAACTACGTGCTCTGAAAATAGTTCTCAATAGAACATTATTTAAAACGTTCCCCGGCACTTTAATCAACGCGTATTTCGTATGATTGTTTTATTTATTTCATAAAAAAATAGAATTAGAAAGAATTGTATCAGACATGATTTGCATATTGCACGGGAAACGCGTGGCGTCAGCTGTTTCTCTGTTGCTATTCCAATTAATCACCTTCCTTTGCCGATAAAAATGGGAAATTTTCAATTGAAGGGGAAAATACATCAATCCTAATTGCATTTGTTTCATATAAAAGCGAAAATATTAGCAATAAACTCAGACACATGTGGCAGTGATACCAGTAGGCCGACTAAGTTTATGCAGTTAATTGATAAACTGAATTGCAACTTGCACGGAATGATATTTACAAAACAACATTAATACGTTCACATTAGAATACTTACATGATTTTCTGTCTTTGTGTCTTCGTTACAATAAAATGTGACGAATAGATAGCTTTTTGTACACGAACGATAACCGCAACGTTCACCTGTAAATATGCATAGATATGATCTGAACAACTTTCCTGTAATTTAAAATTTAGCTTTCGATACAACATGAACTTTCAAAACCGAATAGTAGGGGAAATGTTATTTTGACTTGATTGTTATGAACGTGAATTCAATAGTATTTATATTTTTCAGTTTCAAAAGAATCAAATAAAATAAGACAGCAAAAAAACCTGATCATAGGGTCAACAAACATGGAAAATATTTGAACTCGAATTCGACAAAGGTGGGAGTAAGAATTAAAAACACCATAGGACAAAATAAAGTGTAACCAAATTGTCCACCGGAAGTGAAAGTTTTCTTTGCACCAAAAGGCGCTTATATTATTTTATCGTTGTATATATAAATACGAGGCCTGGTTTACTGTGTAAATAACCTAATGAGTTCAAAGTTTAATTCTCAAGCCTGAATGTGTCATTTTAAACAATAAGACAACAGTGTTTATGAGTTAAATATTTGTTCATTACTTTTACATAGTACGTGAAATCGTTTTTAACTACTTATTTTTTCATTTATTTACCGCAGGAGAACCCATTTTTGAAAAAAAAGTTTGTGTGTAAGCAGTGTGTTGACGGTGGACCGGACTGGAAAATGTTACTATATTATTATTTCTATTCATCATTCACTAGTTGCTCAACCTTCGTTTGAAAACAAATATTCAACTTTTCAACACTTACCAGAATTATAGCAACTGCTGGACCCGCAAATGAATAAAGTACTCCATTAGAAAGAGTAAGCCAACAACTGAAACAAACATAATTATTTATGACTTATAAATCATAGCTGATAAATATGCTTAGTTTTTAAATATTTATAATATCGGTTCAAACCACTCATTATTTCTTTGAACATATGGAAAGAGTTACAGAACACATTTTCGAAATAGCTTATTAATGATAAATATATATACATATTAGAATAATATTGACTTGGGCCTAGTTTCTTTAACACTCTGATTTATTCATAGTTTGTGAACAGTTTTACAAGCATGTGTATGTACTTTACATTCCTACTCACTGATGCTGAGAATGATATTCCTTTCCGTGTGTTATTCCGATTGTTGTCCCTACCACAATTGCCGGAGTACCTAGGGATCGGTAAAACATCACTTACTGCTATATGCTTTGTGATTTTTTTCTCTAAATCTCTAAACAGGGAAGTGTTTAAATAAAACTAAGTTCATGGTCGGGGGTTATTACGCTGAAAACCTTCATAAAATTGTTAGAATTGGAAAGAAACCCTGAGGTTAGAAATATGTTTGCTAAAAGTACATCGGGGGAATGAAATCGGTAATCATGCTGTAACTGTACATATTTTAGTGGTATTCAATTTTTGACGCTTTTTGAGTTTTCATTTAATTTCTTGTAAATAGCCTGATATTGTGAGTGCGCTAATTTCTGAATCCGCTTATTTGTGACAATTTTAAAATACGTTAGAATTTGAATTCACTTTAATAAGTATTTTCACAGTATTTATATACACGATAAAAGAAGCAGATAGAAATGTAACAGAGAAGATTAATTTCCTTGAATTACTCTTATATAAAAGTTACCACTGCCACAACGAATACCATATACTGCGAAATTTTCGCCGCATAGTAACTTTAGCCTTTTAAAGATTTTGTTTATTTAATCAAACATTAGTGAACAATATGATAAAGGTAGCAATCAAATATATTAACATTTCCACTTCAAATTCTTAATACGCATTACAAGAAGAAATTGTGTTATCAGGGCTATGAAAGCAATTTGATCCGCCTATGTCAGAAGCTTCCCCTACCGCTTCTAATAACGTGAGAAACCCGTTAAAAGCAAACATTTTTTGTGACGTTAAACTGTTCCATGAATCTTGTTTGCGCTGACGACACAGACACTTCAATATCGAAAATATAAATAAAGGGAATATCTATATTTAGATCAAGGATAACTACAAAATTTAGAGTGGAAATATATGTATTGAACAGCATTTTCGATGCTCATTCCGGTAATAATACATAAATATAAATATATATTACATGTTTATAGAATATATTTGAAACCGATTTCCGTTCATACCGGCATGAAAACAATTCCGTCCGTCCATAGTCTTGAAGGGAAAACTATCGCTCGGCGAACACAGATTTCACCGGCGTAAGACAAAAGTTTCCCTGTAACAGGAACTAATACTAAGGGCGAAAGTGTCTTTGTAGTATAATGACTCTGACAATTCAATATTTATATGTTTATATTGCTAAAGACATACTCACCCCATCCGAAAAAAAGTAACCATTTGAGTTTGGACTTGGAGTAAAATACTACCGTCACAGACATCAGAAGTATGATGCCCTCAGCCAGCATCAGACAAAACGTCACTAGGAAGAAGTAGTGTAACAGTGCTGCTATGGTGGTACAAAATATCTGTTAAATATAAATTCGAATCTTTATATTCTCGGCAATATTGTTTGAACGTTTATTGGCACCTTGTAAATCTGGACACTTTTGCTTGTGTTTAAACTGGACTTTCATTTTCTAATTTGTCGACCTTATTGATCCATAAATCTGACTTTCAGGCGATTCATAGCTTCAGTTCATTTCCCGTGGTTAATTTGACTTGTATAAAATAGAATCTTAGTCAAATATATATTCAAAATTTAACCTGCATAGTGACTTTGGATTACAAGTAAACCTATGTTTCCTACATGAAAAATTAAAAAAACAATTCCTATGATATAGATTATACAAAAAGATAAATCTCGATCACTCAACTATTTAATAAACCGAACACGTGTCACTTGTTGTTTCATAAATATAAGAAATATAGGCAGCAGTACCTTGGAAAAGAAATATAACGAAAGTCAGAAAGGGACATAACTCCTATGAAAATATAATCACAATTAAAAATAAAATGCAGGACTATCTAAGTTATTAGTAATTCGTGTTTACACTTTAACAATGTGTCTGTGACGCTGTCTTGCTACATTATCGATCGAGAATTAAAAATTAGATAATAAATATGGAAATAGATTTAATATGTTTTATTGGAGTTTCTTTATTGTTCAAGGACACCAACAACTCGTGATATTATATTGCAACTATAGTCATGCGTGCAGTTGTCTGCCGTGACTAGATTATATGACTACATGTTGTAAAGATTAATAAACTTTGCCACTCACATTGTCTTCCGTTTTATCTATCCCCGTCAGAAACAACACATAAGCTACAGTCAATGCAGCACAGAGATTCATGAGCAGGCGTGCTTGATCGTTCTTCACATTTCTGTAAAGAAATCGTTTAAAAACATCACAAATCTGTACAGTAACATAAGCGTGTTATACACAGCAACGTTTAAATAGAAAATGAATTGGGGAATTTCGGGAATGCATTTTTGTTTATATCAAATGCAGTTTTATTGATGTGAAAACACAAAACTGACTATTACGCTTAGAGGTTTCTAAAATATGACAGATCCAAACTACACTCATGCTAAATTCTCCTTGACATCGTAAAACTGCCCTCCCCTTTAATATTTAAACAGTTTGATTGTAAACAAACTGATAAAAAATGCATTTTCGAAAGGTAAACCTAAGATACGTTCATGTGATTGACTTATAAATTCTGGCGATAAATAAAGTGACTGCAAAAAACAATGCATGTCCAACCACGATGCTTGCTATAAACGACACTGATCCGGTTTGCGCAACAGCAACAAGAAAGTAGTGAACTGCCAACAAAACTCAAATTCAAAATCAATAAAACTAGAGCAAAATCTTTATTAAGGAAATCAAATATCTACACGGGGTCCATTGAAAATGTTCAGGAAAATAAGAGCATGCGTTCCGGAAGAGCAATTGTCTTCTGTTTCATCGAAGACTCTCGTCACGTAAATGATTGATTGATTGCTTCGTTTTGCGTCCGCTTCACTACCGATTAGTTCGGTTATCTAGCAGACGGCATTACGTAAATATTTTAAACTGATATTTAAATAGAATTTGCAAAAACGAAAATGACTTGCTTTTAAATAAAAATGTCAATATGTTATAGATAACGTAGACACGTGTGCTAAGTGCATACCTCCATAATCCAAGGTAAGTAAGCATGGTCAGGACGGTCCCTACCACTGAAATACTGCAGCCAACTATTGTGATTATCCGGAGGCTTATCAGTGTCACTTCATCCTAAACAATAAAACATAAAAATTAGGCGACAAATGGTTACTTAGCTTATAAACCAACATTATTTGTAGATCAGGTATCAATGTAAAGTTTTACACGATTTAAAGGGAGTTATGGTGAAATTGGTGTTAATTAGTGTTTTGGTGATCACTGAGAGTATCAATACATTTTTAATAGGCAATGCTGCAGAGCGTTTGTCCATAATGTAGGGACATTCAGTACAACCTAATGCTGACACTATTTTAGCACAGCTGTATAAACATGCACGTTTATGAGGACGAATTTCAAAAGTAATTTAATAAAAATCAACCGTTTATCTCTCAACCCTCAAAATCTATCTCAACACACTGCTACAAAATTTACAGAAGATGAATCCAAACCGACCCCTAATGTTTCAGTAATGTCGTTCATACTCTTTTTAATCTGGTACGTTCGCATAAGCTGAAAATAAGTTATGATTATATGTAGTAACAAAATCAAACTGAACACACGGTGTGGTAGGATAGATAACAAACATATGATACCAAAGTTTGCATATTTCTAATCTGATGAATGTTATTGAATATAAAGTAGTTTTTCTTCAAGGTTCTTGCATAAAGTAAATGTAGAGTTAATATAAATAAATATTGAAACACACGAAGACAAAATCAAGAAATATACTGAAGGAAAATAAATTAAAAAAATATTTATGGTACACTATTATAGTCTACACGCCTTCATGACATTATCAAATATAAGCAAATCTAAATATATTTAACTACAATGAAATCAAATTATCAAATGAATAATTTCTCATTATTCGATATGATTAATCTTTTTAAGTAAGGATCAACTTATAAATATTACAAACAAATTATCACACTTAGCACCTATATACTCACATATCGTACATTTAAATATATTATTTTACCAGTTTCACACCAGGAAATCTAATTATTGAATTAAATGTTAAATCATTATTCATTATAATTCATTATGATTAATCTACTTCAGATTTATGCATGGTCCGAAAAAATATCACACTTGAACACGAAATAGTATACACCCACATATCGCACATTTAATATTTCTATTGCATTAATTTCATTTAATCATTTGTTCCTTAATAAAGACAGCTCATGTACTCTTACAGCATCCTTGATCTTGTATCATGTTTCTAATATAATATATATCATGTTGTTTTTCCTTTTGTTATGTTGTCTTGGGTTACTACAGCGCCACCTACCAGTATTTGTATAGGACTCATCAGTACAGCAAAGTTGGTCAGATGATCGCACTGACAGGACTCGTTCACATATCTACATCCATTGCTAGACCATCTAAAAATATATCAGTTTTAGTAAATCTTAACTCCAAATTGTAATAGTTATTTTTTTTTAAAAAGCAAAGTTTTTTCAATTAGATATATATTAGATTTAATTACATAACAAAAAGTTACTTGAAACATTTATACAACACATACTCATCACATATAATGCAACACGTCATTCGACAACCAAATTCGGAAAAGTTTAACTGAACTTGTAAAGCACAGCTAACCTAATCGAAACGAAATGGCGAAGTATTTGCCTTAACTGGATTACACCGACAACATACATATGATATACTATACTTAAAGGATTAAAAAAAATTATTAGTAAATTTGCTGGACAGAAGACGGGTTTTCAATAAATATATACAATAGAAGTGTTTTTCGTTATTTTGTTCTATTTTATTTTTTCTTGTAGAATTTTCGATTAACTCTGTACTTGATATATTACACGGTTTATAATACTAGTCGTCTCGTAATAGCCAAACGTTGTCAATTAGTTACGCTAAGAAGGATTTTATTCATATATCTAATAATAATATAGTTTTAGCTCACTTAACATGTGATCTTATACTGAGCCATGCATCCATATACTTTTCCTTGAATGAACTTCTTCTTAAGATCAGCAAGATCTTCAGTCATGATAAATGTCATAGAGCTTAATGAGGACATTGTTGTCCTTCCTTTTAATTAATTTCTACATGTTCATTGTTTCGGAATACTTTAGACATTGACTTTTACTTGTTAGAAAAGTACCAAAATCCTAAATGGACCTGATTGTCATATGGTGCATTAAATATTTACTTTGCTTGACTTTCTGCATTTACCTCCAAACCTTAAAAAAAAATGTGCTACTTATTTTGTCGTTTATATATATCTTTTAATTCACTATCTTTATCATTATAATAAAGAAATATATGTATTCGTGAACTTAATACTGCGAACCCTCTGTTCTCTTTTAAGTTGAGCGCTGAAGAATCTCCCGAACTGCAGCGGTGCAACACCTAATACTATCCGATACTACCAGAACATCTTAACACAAATATATGCAAAGTATATCATCTCGTCTGTTTGCTTTGCTTACTACTTTTAAAACTATGCGTCGTATGTCTTAATGCAGTAATCAGGTTTGCGTATACTTTCATACATTTAAAAATGGAAAATATGGAAAACAAACTGTTTTATCCCAAAATCCCAGAACACACATCTTATGCTGAGGTCACCAGACAGGTTGTTCTGGAAAAAAACAACAAGATTTTAGTCCAGTGCAAATGGCTGTATTTATCCATTTTATAGTTAAACAAACAATTGTATGTTGTTGTAAGCTACAGCCCCTGAATACGGGTTAGCCTTTTTTAGTTGTATAGTTACGCGTGCATTCTAATTGTTCATAAAGTCGTTTTGACCACCTTATCAATTTAGAAAAAAAATCTTTTTAAATTTGGCCTGAACGACAAAGACATTGATAACGGACCAATCTTACTCTTTGTGAAAATGAACTACGGTCTTGCTTTAACTGGTCGTATAAACAGTTCATGTATATTACCTTTTCTATACCAATATTTGTAAAGATATAAAAAAAAAAACATTAAACTTTAGACGCAAAAATGACATTCAAAGACGTTTTAAGGACTTACCTTTCGTTTTAACTTCTCTACATCAAAGGCTAACATGACAGGCGATGACAAGCGGTTAGTTTCAATTCCAGATCCAATTGAAAGGGAGATAACTTCAGAAGCAAACTCACCGTAACTTAAAAAAAATATTAAAAAATGCAAGGTTCCAGCTGCTGACCGAATATTATAATGAACATTTTGTTTGGGAAGTCTATAGTGAAATGAGTTTGTTTATTGTTATTGTTGGTTTGTTTTTTATTGTTTTTTTTGTTTCATGTGTGCAAAATAACATTTTTGTGTTCATAATTCCATTTTATCTTTCCATTCCTTTTTTATTTAACCAGATTATTTTTTTATAAAGCACAAATATGATTTGTCTTTGCATCCTGGACTGAAGAGATTTAATAAATAGGCCCAGTAAAATCAATAAAAAATAAACCTTCCTAGTAATTGATTCATTTGGTTTCGGCACAGTAATTACTGTATGGTAGGGTTGAACTTTTGATGTTTCATAGCTGTATCCGTGTAATCATACTATTGTCATGTGTTATAAGTATTAATTATTTACCTTTTGCTTTTTGGGAGGATTTCTGAAATAGTTCTATAGAACGCAGCTGTGTACGTTAGGTTTCCTGAAATATGGATTTTACAAAATTAATAAAATATATCGCAGGTGTTTTATGTGGTGAAGCTATGAATAAGTTAACAGTCGTCAGATTCAAGAAAAAAATCTTTAAAAAAACACCCCTTTAAACAATGCAATGATTCACCTTCCGTGACAAGAACAATACCCATTGTAAAAGAAATCGTATTGCATTTTACGGAAGAAAAACATGTAAGACTTATATTGACCACAAAGTACATGTAAATACATGCCTGAAGTATCTGAGTCCAGGTTCAAGGAAATGCCGACTTCAGAACCATTTAAGGTTTGTTCAGGATGAAAGTTAATCATAGGTGTAGTTAAGTTAATTCGTCTGAATTCAACATCTACAAAATAAATAAACATGTAAAACTTAAATTTTGCTACTTTGAGTTAAAATAAAACTTTGAGTTTAAAAAAATCAACGTAATACGAATGAAAAACATAACTGGTATCTTCGATTTACATTTATAATAATTTCTATTTTCTTTCAAAATTGTCAAGACATCTGACGAAAAAAAAAGTTTTGTTCATAATTTAAAACCTTACTTACGCGAGCTCCATACATGTAGAAAAAGACGACTTGTAATACATTATACAGTGGAAAACATTTCAACTGTTAAAAAAGTCTAAAGGAACGTGTAACGTTCAATTTTCACATAAAATACTGTGTTATCCAGTGAATATACCCATGTCATATTTTTTTGCTTATTAACCCATGTAATATTACCTGTGTTTGGTTGTAAGTTTTAATTGTTTGCTAGTACATGACGTCACATACTTACGCACTGGAGTCGAAATGGCGGCGTTTTACATTTCAAGGTTGCATGTAAATTGACGTTTTACACGAATAAATGCCACAAATTTTGATTATGTGATAAGAAGGATCTTACACTCGATTTCATTTAATATGAAATTTATGAAACTCGTCACGAATTTTTCATTTTAGCTTGCCTATTGAAAAAATCTTAAACTCGTTTCATAAATCTGATATGAAATAGAAACTCATGAAAGATCCTATATATATATTACATACACCATCTATGCTATGTTTAAGGATCCCTGTACCACTGCCCAAAACTATGACTACGCCTTGAGCGTGATTGCGCCTTTTGTGAATGAGTTCCGAAAATAAATCCGTATATTGCGGCACTTTTAAGAAAAATAATAAGGAATAAATCAATTAAAACAACAACAGTGTTAAATGTCAGAGGGACTAGAACGGGATTCGAACCCTTGATTTTACAATGTTTTGCTATTGCTCTTACCGACTCAGCTACTTCTAATTCCTGCCTTTTATTGTGCTACAGCTATGTCCAAAACAAGAGTCAGGGGAGGTAACTCCACATGCGAATATCTACAGTGCGGTTGAACAGGGATTCTTAAGAGGGATGAAATTGAATAGGTGACGCAAAAAACATATTTCACTTAAACATTTTATCTCAAAAATTATAATGAGTACGGTGTATATCTAGATTGTACGGTGTATGTACACACATCTCTATTACAGTATGTAAGACACATCCTTAAGACTTTAAAGTAATTGATTACCAATAACGTCATGTATCTATGATTATATAGAAATGAAATTTTGTGAAAAGATTATGCAAACGAAAAAGTTTTGAAAAGTTCAAATATCTACTTACTCATATTTTTCTTGTTCAGAATAATTGGGTTGGCAGTGGTCACTGTGCGAGAAAATATCAATCCAAAATTTTCAATAATCTTCATGAGATTACTGGCAACTGCATCCGAACTCTAAAACAAAGATATGGGTATTTAACGGAAAGTATATACACTACAGGTAAAAACACTGATGAGGCCATCAAACAGTTTTATGAAGAAACACTCTTTACAATACAGATATTTATTATACTGCGTAACAATTGATTTTCGTGGTGGTTATATTTGTGCTGTTGAAGGATCACCAACTTAACACTATTTAATTTCAAATTTAACAATGGGTATCATATGTGCATATCATGATACAATGTAATATCATTATAAAACATTTCCCTGAGTGATCAGAAAACTTTACTGAACGACAAGTTAGGGTTATAATTTGACCATTTCGTTTTAAAATTGACACTGTTACTGGCTAAACGAAAGAAATTTCGTAAGACAACATAACCTTCTATGATTTCAAATATCTAACTATAATAAGTATTATATGGTGAAAATGAGGTTATTTGAACATGAAAAGTAAAAATGACCAAAGCGTACAGTTATTAGATTTTACCTTATCGTTTACTTCAGCCCAAGAAACCAGGTTATCTTCTGCAAGCATGTCATCAATGATGCCAACAAATTTCTGAAAATTGATTGCAATCTTTTTCAAAAAACACGATCCTAACATCGCAAATAATTATATCAAAATCCAACTTTGAAACAATTTTAGATGGGTTTCTGGCTTTTGTAAATGTTTGACTCGTTGAGGATGTAAAGCAATACAGTTATTTTTATCAAAGAAGATTAAACTTTTACAAACAAAAAATAGGCAAGTGTAAAATAAAACAGGATTTGAATATTTTAGTCTTTTTAAGTCCACGAGCCATCCTGGTGTGGCCAAAAACATAATGCCAATAAGCCATAATAAATATACCATCAGAGAATATTTGGCTTGTCCCAAACTTTCGCGAGACCTTAATTAGTTTCAATAAAGTTTGAAAATATGAATGTATGGTACACAATTGAATATAAAAGAATTTCTACCTTCCGTGAACAACATGGGCTAGCAAACAAAACGATCTCAATTTACATGCATCTACAAACGAATTTTATCGTCAAAGCAATCAAAAATTGATATCTTACACGCCGACTCATACACTCATAATGATGTTCTTTAGCATCATTTAAACGGCTCCTACACTTTTACATGTCAGTTTCATGTTCATTTCAATAACAACCTTTTACTTAATTACAGGTGGGTCGGAAACCTCTAGCATGTCAATAACAACCTATTACTTAATTACAGGTGGGTCGGAACATATTAGCCTGTCAATAACAACCTTTTACTTCATTTCCTGCGGGACGGTTTGAAGATCGGAATACCTTACCTGTTCGTTGACGAGAACAGTCTCTGCAGTATTTGTTATGATAGCGACAATTTTCTCTAAGACTGCTGTTGTGGAGTTGAGGTCACCAGAGGTTAAGCTGGCTGGATTCGTTGTGATTTCTGATATACTTGCAATAACGTTCCCAATAATTACTTCGGCATTCCCAGGTGTAGTCTCGAGGTGAATGAGCTAAAAATTAAAACAAAATAGACTTGCATTTCATTAATACAAAAGCAACAAGAGATTCCAGAAGGATCTTGATGCCGACCAGCGTACCATTTTTAAAGATTCTATACAAGATGAACGAAACATACTGCACCTTAAAACATTCTGAATTTGCACTTTGTACAAATAAATTACGCTGCATCAATAAGCTTCTTCGTCCTTCTTTGACTCATCGGTGATGCTAGGGACCAAGATTGAACTTTTCTTATTCTTTCTCCTATCTGTTGGATTGAGTCATGTAAACAGTAAATGCACCTTACTGTACGTGTTGATCAGAACTTAATATTGCTGTGTATGAGATTGTTATTTCAAAGAGAGGTTGTTGTTTGACCTTTTTACTGCTCAATATTCAATCTGAAGTATATAAAGTACTTCTTAGGAAAGAGTGATAAAAAACCTTTTCTGACCGGCCTTTAAAATAAAATATGCACAACGTAGGCCTTATGGATATCAACTTATCAAAGTTTATGAAGAACTGTCTTGAGAAATAGTGAAGAAAAATTCTTAAAAGTAAAGATGGCTGTCTGGTGGTCGACTTGGGTTTTTTTCAAATCAGTCTCAAAATGAAGTATACATTATGATGATAATTTAAATTGAAACCACATAATTATCATGGTATTAATCAACTAACATCACATGAATAGATGATGCCTTGTTTTGTATTAAGTTGTAACCTATACCCCTTGTAGATACTACGTACGTCTTCCAGTGCTGACTGAATCTCTTGTCTGACACACCCTATTGTGACGACGACTCCCCAAACACCGTCAGCTCCACAGTTACGTTCAACAACACCTTCAACAACATGCATTTCAATCTATCTAAATAATATCATGAATAAAAATATTTAATGGCATAATTTTATCTATCTTAAACATGTTGTGCATAAAAATGATAGATAAGATAATTCAATCTATCTTTATCATATAATGCACAAAAAAATGGCATACTCCAATCTATCTTTATAATAAAGGGCATAATTCAATGTATCTTAATGATATGATGCATAAAATAATGAAGGGCTAAATTCTATTAATCTTAATATTATCATACATGAAAATTATAGATACCATAATTCAATCTATTTTTTTATAATATAATGCATAAAAATGATTGGTTGCATAATTCATATATACATATCTGTATAGTATAATACGTTATACAATCTACGTATGTATCTAAAAAAAAAAGCTATGCATTTAAACGACACATTGCATACACCGACATTAAAAATAAGCAAAAAAACTATCGGAAAGAATTCATAAAAATAAACGGTAAATTACTGAAAAAATAATTAAATTAAACATTCAGAAATTGATTAAATACTTTTTTTCTATGATGCACATTTAAACTCCGATATAATGCATATGGATTCAATTGTTTTCAAGTCAAGTACGCAGAAGGCGCTTGAACGAAGCTTAAGCTCTTTAATGATAACACGTGAGTGTTGAAACAGTTACTTCTATTGCTATACATGCATATTGCTCTTAATTGCTTTCGTCCTACGTAGCTGTCCTACGCCGAAACATGGAAGTAAAATACCATATATAATGTCTCTGACTAAAACTTAAGCATTGTTTTTCTGTTAAAGTTAGGTTAAAAAGGAATGTTAAGTTTCGCAAATGTAATATTCGCGTTTGAAAAACTATGACTTATCTCGCCCGTAACTATACCTGTGAAATTGGCCATGCACGGCTGTGTTACAATATTCCCCGCAGGTGTGGCTATCCAGGTCAGTCCAGTATGGTCGTCGAACACTTCTTTACAAAAGTTTGTGCCTGAAAACATATCACTGGCATTTGGTCTATAAATTCTGCAATCAGAACTTTTTCATAAAAGGTCTCACATTTTTATTTTTATTTCAATTGTCTGCGATCAAACATTGTATTAAAAATTGCCACAATTCAAAACAGTAAACATGACTCTGTTCTTATTCTTAAAACAGCGATAACTGCTTCTCTTTTAACGCAAAAAGAGATATAATAGATTTAATCAAATATATTCCGTCTTTGCGTATTGCAGAGTTATCTTCTCTTGTGATTGTTAGGTCATTGGTTTGTGAGAGTAACATCATCAATTTTTTAATAAACGACGTAAATTTCTCACACAAACCTATGACATAACAATCAATGTCTGCTCCCAAAAGAAGATAACGGAATATACATGTATATAAAAAAAAACACACAACACGAAGACTAGTATAATCGGCTAACGCTTTCGCCCATCTTGGGGCTCTTAAGGCGATTTGTATATATGTATATATATTTATAAGTGATTGTTACATTCTACACTTACCTTCTGTTCTATATACCTCTAATATACTGACGTGTTTCATGTTTGCGCATGTGTCGCCGTAACCACGCACGCCACACCTGTATTGCCCACTGTCTTCTATAGCGACGTTAGACAAAAAAAGCCTAGAAATTGACATATTGTCGGCATGCATCGTATCTGGAAAAAAAACAATGGTAAAATATTCTTTAATAAATCGAAACGTATTTTTCACAAATGATTCAATTTAAAATTTAATTTCACATTTCATTTTTTTACCAGAAATTAACATGTGCGTTGTTGAAAAAAATATTTACACAAAGGAAATTGCTTTTTCTCTAATCTTATATCATCGAAAAGTTTTTCTTCAATATCAATCACTATTATAATTATTTTCTTCTAACTTTATACCAAATTTTCCATGTTGAGAGTTTTTGAAATTTTTAAGAACATTTTGTTTTTTATATTTTTTTATTTAAGATGAATATTTGTATAGAAAATGGCAGCTTAACTGTTGTTGCTTAGCTATAATGGTTGTCACAATGATGATATGCCAAATCATTTATTTTATGAGAATTCGTTCTGATATTTTAATTGGCTCAATTGTGAGTAAATAAAGTTGAAAAAATATATACATTTACCTTGAAGAGTATTAGAGCCGTGGCACCACTGAAAGGTATCATTGAAATGCCGAAGGTGTTGGTTTGTGACGTTACATGTGACAATGACGTCACTTCCTTCTTTTGCAGCCTTGAATAAGGGGGAGATAACTACCATTGGTAGTGGAATTATTTGAATGTAGAATTGAATGAACACTTGCTTGAGACTACAGAATATCCCTCCTGAATAATTATAAAAATATAAAAAAAAAAAAAAACCTTATGTATAATCGCATGGCTATAATTTCATGTCATTACTACATTACATCATAACACATTTAACATGTATAATATCACATATTGTGACGTCACCAGTAACGGTTAGATAATGTCACTTAATCCTAATGAAAATCAAGTTTTGGGGCTTAAATGCTGTGTTTGTTTTGAACTCAAACCTTAGTTAATAACATACTTTGCGAGTTTTCGAAAATATTTGTCTCCTTTGTAAAGTATCTCGACTCTTAACGGTTGAAAACAACTCACTAAGCAACAATGTGCCGAGTCGGTAAAGCCAGCTGTCAGAAAATGTCAAGACATTTCAAATAGCAGTCTAATACTACAGGCAGTCAGAGGGAGTTCATTTTCATTGTTTTGTATCCAGTATATATTTTTAGTATATATATTTTTAGTATATATATTTTTAAGGTACTTTATAGGTGTTGACCTCTCTTGAAGGATAAATACGGGCCACTGACAGTTGAAAAGCAAATTAATTTGTACATTACCGATGTTAGTGACTGTCATGTATTATTATATAGATAATATATTACCTTCGTCTCGCACGGAAACTGGGTCGATAGTAAGTGTCGAATAAAGCGCGGTCTCGTTGGTGACGTCATCTATTCGTATTCTTGTAGAAGGAATAACGGGTTGTCCTGATGGTATTTTTCCCCATGTGATAGGTCCACAATCGGCAGGTGCAAAAAACTGACATGGCAGTGTTACTCTTTCACCCTCTTCGTATAATGAATCATAAGGAAGGTTATGATTTGTTATGCCTCCATCAGGACACACTGAAAAATATAGTTAGCTGATCTCTTAAAAATTAAAAAAAAAGCAAATCATTTAAATATTTAAGCAGAATTGAACCTCAACATTCTGCGAATGCAACGGATTCCATTTTTAAAGAAAGTCAAGATAATAGTCCTGATTTTCAGCTTTTTTTCGTTCAGATAATATTCTGTCATGTCGATTTTTGTGCAGAATTTGCAATTATTTTATCACATGCTGAAGACTTTTGTAATGAGAGACAAATTGCTTGACTGAGTAACTTTTAGAAATGAACAATTCAACTTTTCATCTTGACAGAACTGAATATAAGGGATCATTTTCATACCTGCTGCTTTGACGGTGAGGATCCAAAGTAAACACAACAAGATTTCGTTTAATTTCATGTTGATTCTTCGAAAACCTTTTTCTGCAATAAAACGTTTCCCAATAATAACCACCATTTAACTTTCGTTTGTTGTATATTTATAAAGATAATTCATGATCTTTTCTACAAATATCCTATGCCCTGATACTAATATGTGAAACATAAATACATAACGTTGTGATATTACCTCATCGCACGTGTTTGTTAATTCTCTTCTTTAAATTGTTTTCCCGCATTTGTATGACTTAATCATTTGGACGATAGTTTAGTTCATTATGATTCACGTTCTATTTAAGGCTGTACTTATTCAGGACAGGGGCAGCGGTGGCTAAGTAGTTAAGACCTCTGACATTCTGCTACCACTAGCTCTCCACCACTGGGTCGTGGGTTCAAAGCCTCCATGGGGCAGTCGCCAGGTACTGGTTGTAGGTCGGTTGTTTTTCTCCGGGATATCCGGCTTTCCTCCGCCACTAAAACCTGGCACGTCCTTAAATTACCATAGCTGTTAATAGAACGTAAAACACAAACAAACACAAGCTTCATTCAGGACAAGCGATGGTTTGGCGGTGGAGGATAACCGAAGTACCCGGAGAAAAATCACCGACTTGCGCCTTGTACATGGCAACTGACCCACATCGGCCTCGAACCCGCGACACACTGGTGGAGGGCTAGCGGTTGCTGATGATCTTTTTACAAATCAATACAATAATGCACGACACACATCAGTGATATTTGCTTAAATGAAACTTGAATTATAAATACCTGTCCTGATTGTGCGACAACAAAAGACAAATTTCGCTCCGTTCAATCCTTAGATACTGTTTCATGTGATCAAGTATTTCCCTTCGGTGATACCACAAATCTAGTATCCGATTGTCGACATGGTTTATAGAGATTGCAATTTAAACTTTCTATTTCATTTGTAATAAGTGTGTATCATGGGAGTTTACAACTAACTTGTTCGATAGTTATGTCAATTTAACCACTGAAATAACGTCACTTGCTAAGGAAATCGTCGCTGAAGTTTCTCAAATAAGATTACTGCTTAAATTATATAACTATTAGAACAAAAAAGCATCTTTCTTAATTATCACAAGTTTAGCATGATTATGATCCCTATGTTATTTGCGTTAAAAACATTTGCCATCAGTAAAGCTAATAAACAGTATATTATAGATATTGTACAATTTTCTTGCACGACAGGGAATAGATAACAAATAAATTATGTCTAACAATATGTCAATAATTCAGGGATAAATGTGTTAAAAATAAATCAAAACAACTTATATATAAACATAACTTAATTAAGTACGTAAACAAAATTGTGGACAAATTCTGATCAAATTGTTTAGTCTGAGGTTAAATCTAAAATTCTACTCACCAGACTTAATCATATACAATAGATCCCGTCTGCCTAGACACATTTATATCAAATAAATCCAGAATAAACACATCAGTAACGAAGTAGAAAGTATTACACTGTATTCATCCATTTTACTAATAAATGTCTGTCATGTGATGTTCTGGTTGATTCGGATTCACCACCCAACTCCATATGAAAACAAAATTCCCAAGTTATAGATAACTTCTCGTAATATGCATATTTAAATACGCACCAGCCTGTTCACAAACATTCCCCGACAGTTTATAAAACTCTGATGCTCCTCTGTCCCACGTTGACGTCTTTATAGACTTTGATATCACGTATTGACATGATTTAGAACTAAGAGTAAACACAATTATCTTGTCGACAGCGTTCGTAATGATTCGGATACGAAGTCGTTTATTTGTGTGTCCTGTTCCCGGGCAGTAAATCATGTGGGCTCATATAATATGTTTACGTTGTTATGAAGCTGATACACCGACTTAAGGTATTTAAAGCCAGCGGTAAAACTGTGTTTTTGTTTGAAGACTTCTCTGTATGGTTTATATAAAATAAAATAAGAAGGATTTCAGTCACAACGTATGTTAAATGTTGTCATGACAAATATAACTTGATGTCATTCATATTATTGCTTGTGCACATTTGTGCGGACGATGAACGAACGTTGTGCGATGACAATCGTGGTTTGTGTAAAATGAGAAATGGCTTAACAATTTATACGGTTTCGTGTTTAAACACATTAACTTGATATTTTAAGTATGTTTCTATATTCTAGCTTCATCTATAAGCAGATCCTTCTATATTTACTTAAATATAGAATTTGTGTTTCGGTCGACCCAATTCAACACATGTAAAATTATAACACATATGAACACGGTCCCATAGTACTTGAACTGTAGTTTTCCCCACCCGAGGCACCTACGTAACTCGTCAAGTGAACTTCCAGGTGAAGGGGAGCTATAAACCAAAACGAATGCAAATATCAAATACTTAACGTGCAGTTATGTTTTCATAGCAGTCATACGGTATTATATATCCGCTTTCTATGTCAGGCACAGGGCGCCAGGTAAAACTCCGGTCACTAATCAAGACGTTATTTACCTGTTTTGTTACCTTGGAGCCAAACCCATTCTTGACAGTCTAACGGTCACTGTAATACTGTGTTACACGCATTGTAAAGTTGAACATAATCTTAATTAATATGATGAGAAATTCATATATACGGTGTTCCTTCTTCCATACGAGCCTTCCGGATTTTTTCATTCCGTAATATTTATTGATCAATTGTACCAATTCGAACATTTGTGCGAAGCGAAGCGCACAACGGGGCGAACGTTTGTTAAATCGCACAGTTATGCGCACCATGTGTGGACGATGTGTGGACGGTGTGCGCACGATGTATGCACGATGTGCGTACGTTATTTTGTTGCGTTGTTCTGTCACACAACTGTATTATTATGTTAAGAAATTCAAGATGCTATGTCATTTATTTTAGTTAAAACATTATTTATTTTGAAATATGCTTTCTATAAAAAAAATCCTCTGAAATAAGTAGATTATACTGTAAGTGTACTTTTTACAAAATCAAAATCAAAACAAAGATATGACAATTTTGAACATGAAGACATATTTAATATGGTAACCATGCAGAATCGTACCTATGTACACCATATCCAATGTTATTATGATATACTTAATCTATCAAGTTTCAATTGCATTCATGAAGATTATTTACAGGATATCAAGTTATATTAATATCATAAATACAATGTACATACCATTTTTTAATAATTACAAAACACACTGATTTTTTTTTTAACGAAATCAATAAGCATGTGACAAATTATTTATTGCTTATTTAAAAGTTGTTTGTCCTTTCTGCAGAATCACTACTATTATTTTTTTTTTTAAATGGAGTGAAAATCAAAAACGATGAAGATATATTTTCATACTAAATACATAATTGATACATGTGAATATTGCTCATTCAATGTAGTATTAGAGAATGATTGTCGATGTCATGTCTAGATACATATTGCGCAAACTATGATCATTTAATCACTGAAAGACATTACAGGATTTTAACCCTTTTATCAATAATACACCATATTAACATTTTGATTTTCATCATTTTATAGGATATTTGTTCACTTATTGTTGTCAGTCGAAAATTTAGGACATATAGTATTCTTTTATATGTACAAATATAATTTAGGTTTTTGAAACCTAAAGAAGTAAATCATAATCTGTTTGATTTCTTTCCCAATTTTTGAAATAGCAAAAAAATAGAATGCAATTATTCGTGAAAGTTGGTATTTAAAGTTAAATGTACATAATGTGGGTTCGTCGTGATAATCTATATCAATGGAATTATCATATTTCATTTTTAGATAAAACATATTTTATTTAGAAATCCATACATATATTTGTTTATATCTGTCAGACTTGTGGAGTTACCTCCCTTGGAAAAGCTTTTGTCAAAATATCTGTTTCACTTTGCAAGCTTACAGATCACATTTTACTCTAACTTTTCACAGATGTGAATTAGTTCCTTTCACTCATCGTGATTCGATACAAGGTTGCTGTTAGACAAGGTTGTTTCCTTTTCAGCGCCAGTACGTTGTTTTCGTTCCTCATACATGTGTTTCTTTTCCAAGGGATGAAAATGATGGAAATCGCTTAGGAGAAATAAATGTCGGTATATCCTGAAACATAATAAATGATAAGCATCAGACATGTCAAAGTGTTATAACATTCGTATGTTTTCTAACTAAATATTTGATTTCTTTTCGAAATATCTTAATAACTTACATAAAAAGGTGTCAATATCGGACGAGGAAGACGAAATTCTGTTTCAGCGATTGTATCACAATCATCATCGTCTAAAATAAACAAAACAAATACAAAATAGTAAACACTCTCACTTAATAACATATTATAATGCTAATTGCAGTATTATTATTTATTTTTCAAGCAAAATATTGAATGAATAGTATTGCTACATGTATGTGAATTCGATTATGCAAATCATTCTATTCCGAGATATATTTTTAGGAAGTTCCCAATGGAGATATTTCATCTGCGTTTCCAGGTCCCTTAGATTCTTACCTTTACTTTCGTCCCATGGCCTTTTCTTGAAAACCTTGTAAATAAATAAACATATTTTTTAGCCCAATAGATACTAAAAAGGTGTATATATTCTCTGGGGATTTTTCAGTATATATGGTCATCTTAATTACGGTAAAAGTATTTGTGGATGGATATAACTAATATACTGTAGGAATAGAATCCATGCGTATGTAAATATTCGCGTCGAAACTATTTAACCGAAAATGCATTGGAAATATTCGTGTTTCTGAAATCAAAATATTCTATTAATCGATGTCATTACTAAAAATATAAAATATTGGCGATTTTAACATGACATTTAAATTATTATTGAAAAAATATAAATCTTTTTACCTCCGACTTGATTCCCGCATTCGAGGATCGTGTCATTGAAGAATCATACTTTTTCATTTTTCTCGCAAAAGCTTGTCGTATCTAGAAGGTAAAAACATTTTAACTATTTAAAAGATTTTTTTCGAGGCACACGTAACAAGATCTCAATTCATACAAACCAATTAAAATCAATCAAAATTAATCAAACTTATCAAAATTATCTCATTTTGATTCTTTTTGTTCGAATCAATAAGTTTTATATAAATTGTATTCACTACATATGTATATACCTACCGAAGAGTTTAAAACACAGTAAAACAGGAAAATGAAAAAACCCTGGAAACAGAAACAAAACATTGTCACTTTCATCTATTTTGAAATTATTGCAAAATCGATAATGCAAAATTTATTTTCAATGTTTAATTGTTTTAAAATTATAAGATAAAAAATATGTTTTGTTAATAAAATTAATTTATTTTTTAATCAACCAAACCTGTAGAGAGTTCGTCAAAGCGAAAAGGTACTGGAACACAACGAGGTCATCATTGACCGAAACAATCCCAAACAACCACGTGATCCCTAGAACCGGAAGTAATACCGACACGCTTCGTACACCGGTCCTTAAAGAGAAAACCAATTAGCATGCATCCCTCAAGTTAACAGATATTATAGCAATTTTACGTTTGAAAAAGTTCGTAAATCCATATTCATAACTTATACTTTTATTTTAACAATTCGATAAATGAATAACACCATGTTGTTACACAATTGTAATCGACGCATGATAACAGTTCTTATGTTTGGCAAAGTATATTTTATCATTTCAAAATGATGTTCTTCGTAATTTAGATACTTTGATGATATCAGAAGATGTGGTATGCTTACAAAATGTTCTGCTTGCGAGTTTTAGTCGTGATAAATTGTGACGAGTATATAGCCTTCAACACGATGAAAAGGACAACGATGTTCACCTGAAAAAAGGTAGTCAATATAATGTATCGGACACATACAAACTGTTTTTTATAATGCATTCATCTTCAAACACGATGTACGAGCTTATACAAAAAAAACTTATTTCACTAAATTGGCACTTAAAAAAGGTAATATCTTTCAGATATGGGTTGAATACAAAACTAGAATGAATGATACTGTAACTCTTGTTGCTTACCAGAATTATACAAACAGCTGGAGCTACAAATGAGTATATCACTCCATTCGACAAAGTCAACCAACAACTACAAAATATAAAATTGAACATCAAATAGTCTACGTGTTTTCTGCAACAGGGAATCTTTTAATAAAATGTTCATTATGAGCAACAATGACTCTTCAGCATCATTTATTTGAATATCCTCATTCTATAAATTACATTTAACTATTAATACGTTTTCTGTTAGGAAATCATTAACATTATAATTGGTTTCCTGAACTGAACTGAACAGTGTACGATGAAATTATTCATTAAACTAAGAAGTGGATATGTTAAAAGTTAATATGCGCGAATATAGATTATTCATGAAAATGTATGTATCATCGATGATTTCTGATTGACATTGTATTCTGATATCTTAAATAATTACTGGAATTCGGAATGGTACTCATCGTGAAAGGTTACTCCGACAGTCACTGCAACTACTAAAGCTGGTAAACCTAGTTCAAATGAAATAAAATTCAGCTTAAATCATCTTCTACCCTACTGCAAACATGTGCCATTCTTTGCTCAGACATCATTTTTTTTCTCTTTGATACGGCCTTGAATTCATCATTAAGATTGGTATATGTATATTGAATTAATTATGGTTTTATCTTATCATAAAAATACTTATGAGTTTAGATTAGAATTATACAGTAATCTGCTGTGATTTCTACTGACCTGAAAAGTGATGCAGTATTTCTGATATTAGTTTAAAACATATGTAGGCATATTCATTTACTGCTCTACAATTTACGGAAACATCTTACCCCATCCCAGTAGAAGAAACCATTTGAGTTTTGATTTTGTGTGGAATACAGCTTTGACAGATATTAGAATCTCAATACCCTCCGCCAGCATCAGACAAAACGTCACCAGGAAGAAATAATGGAGAAGTGCCGCAATGGTTGTACACAATACCTATTGGATTTGAATAGGTATATATAAGTATTGGTTCATCATTTAAATTAAAATATGACAATTATTTTCACATTTTTCATAATTTAGCACCTAAACAATAGCTTCATGAAGAAATTAGTTATGGGATACTCAGGAGGGTATTGTGTGTACCTCAATAATAAACTAAAAGAGATTCAGTCATATCTTGATCAGTTTTCTTATTTGTGAATGTTTATTCTAGTTGTAAACGTGACAAAGCATCAGCTACCTAGTCAAGTCTATGACATGGAAAATAGATTTCATTCAAGTGACCATTCACAATGAACGAAAGCTCGATGCTCTCTGTCAAGTAATTTAATTATCCAAGTTCCCGTAAAGCAGAATGAAAATCATTCATAGTACTTACATCATCGTGTGATTTTCCTATACCAACAATGAACACGACATAGGCCACAGTGAGAGCTGCACACAGATTGAGTAGTAGACGGCTTCGGTCACCTTTCACGTACCTTTGGTTAAATATATCACTTCTTGCAGACATACTTTCAAACGTGTAAAACATATCATTATACATAATAATGTAATATAATAAATATCATATCTAGCACTGAAATGATTTTACTGCTTTTATATACATAATAATATTGTGCCGTTACATCAGTTGACTAAAAGTATAAGATTTGTTTGTGATTCATTTATTGCATTCACTCTCGGAGGAAAATCTATAAAACTTCTAAGTTTTGAATATTCATCATTTAACTTAACATTTATCAAAAACGTAATTAACTGCAACTTTTCTTGTGATTGTGCCAGTTTTATTTCAGAAAACATTTACCTCCATAATTTTATATACACCGCCATTGTTGTCACAGTTGATAATAAGGACAGGATGCATCCAACGAAGCTGATGATCCGAAGAACATAGGAGTGCTATGGATGAATAAGACGGAATTTATAGTCATGACTCAGAAAATTTGGAAGTGGATCACCGCAAACTATTTCTTTTTTAAATTCATTTCAGGTGTACGTATGAAATATTAAGTCGTCCGCACGAATTAGTCTGAATCATCGACTTATGGCATTCTATACTGATTCCAACCCAACGAGTATGCTCAATACATTTGTTAGCATTTTCGTTATCGCTGAAATAGATTATCGTTAGCATTTTTGTAACTAAACAACCTTTATATTTCTCGTACAGTTTACTTTATTGATGATATCATACGTATTATTATCACAACCAGAAAAGCCACGCGTGTCACATTTTTGTGATGATTTTATATCGTATATATCTAAATCGAATCAATCAATGCACCTATTTTATAAAGTAAACGATACAATTTCTTTTCTTTTAATCTTTAAGAATTAATCAGTGTAAAATAAAAAATGATTCACAACAGTCAACAAGTTGTCGGACTTCCTTCATATACATCATGGTATGACATCGACAAGACATTGTAAAAGCTAGTTGGAAAATTATTACAATCATACTGTCTTTAAAATGAATCACAGTGAACTGTTTTGTTAAACAGCAGATAAGGATATCATCAGTCTTTACCAAAACATTTGTTTCTGAAATCCACCTACCCCAACCGATGTTGTCACAGGACTCATAATGACAGCAAAGCTAGTGAGATGAGTACATTGACAGGAATTGTTTACCCATCCACAGCCCTCTGTAGACCATTCTCCTCCCCTGTTATAGATACATATCATTGTATGTTTATTTCGATACCGCTATAAAAAAGTTATTTTCATTTTTCATTTTTCATTTTTCATTTTTTTTTTTTTGCCTTTTTTAATTGGTGTTCCTGTTTTCATTTTTGACGTCTTTTATTTTGTCTGTTCGATTAAGAAACCAATGATGGAACTACACAGTTTTTTTGTATAAAAAATAGTTTATGCTTACGTTTTCCAGTATACACATCTGTGAGTAACACTACCTGTCATATTACCCTGCAACAAAAACAACGTCTTACCAAATATAGTCTAAACATTAATAATTTTAAAATTTGAATATTTTCATTAATATCAACCTAATAGACTGCGGTTACATGATATCAAACAACTTTCAATTGTTTAAATAATTGAAGCATGGAACTCGTATGAACAAAATTATATGTTGTATTTCCTCATCGTTTACATTGTAATGATATGATTCAATTTAATGATAATTTTCCTGTTACGGTTTCACTTCCTTAATTATATATTCTTCATTTCCTCCTGACATCAAACTTTTATGCCAGCCGTATAAACATTAAGATAGTGTATGATAGGACAAATACGTACATCATTTGCAAGCTCGTCAGTGTCAAATATCAAAATGACAGGAGACGAAAGATTTTGCGTATCAACCCCAGAAGAATTAGATAATGATAATGCCAAGACCTCCGATGTAAACTCCTCTTCTTGACTGGAAGAATGGAATTTCATGATAAAACTATCATTTTAAAATAGGAAACATTCATGGTTATATACAAATCATTCACTTAGACGCTCGGGTTATGCACATAATGCATAGTGTGTATTTATTTATGCAATGCCGTTTGAAAAACCTAATTACTTTATGTCCGACTATACTTGGTTATCGTTATGGTACACAACACTATCATCATTTTTACCTGTTTTTGTTTAGGAGGAGATTTCCTATTGTTGTGTACCTTGCCGCGGTGTAGGATACATTATCTGAAAAATGAAAAACATGAAAATGCAATTCACATGTTAAATGTAACGTCTTCTTGGTGGCTTGATGCCTCATTTGGGTCGACTTCCAGCTCCGGATTTTTCCAATAATAGCTGTATAATAACAGTTGTTATATTTTTGTCCAATGATAGTTGTAAACGTGTCCAATGATTAATAGATTCTTCTTCCCCTACCTTGAGGGTGTGATAGAGAAATCACCAAACCAAGGGGTGGTGTATTTTTGTTGTCTAACCCGAGGCTCTGCCGAGGGTTAGACAACCAAAAATATCACCCCGAGTGTTGGAGATTGCTTTGTCACACCCTCAAGGTGGGGGATGATTGTTTTTCTCCCATCCTATTATTTCAGTCACAACTCCACCGACAGAAGTGAAACAAAAACACGTGTGGGTATGAATATCGTCATTCACTTTTGATGACGTCACCATTACCGGTGACGTATTTAATGACGTCACAATTGAACACATGCTAATCAGCACGAGGCTATTTCCCCTTATTGGATGACAAGCTGATCTTTCCTGGCTGCAACGGGAGACACACCTGTGAAGTGTGGGAGAAAGTTGTATCATTTGATAGCTGTATAATAATAGTTGTAATATTTGTCCATGATAGTTGTAATATTTGTCCAATGATAGATGTAATATTTGTCCAATGATAGTTGTAATATTTGTGCTAAAAATCGACACAAATGAGGCGAAAATCAGCAACTTTAAGCCTTAGACGGTCACCGACTGAAATATAAGTTAACCTACTGGCGTGCAATTTTTAATCAACAAATAATACGAAATACAATAAAATACAATAAAACTTCACATAACTCCTGTTAAAGACGCACTCTTACAACCTATCGTTTACTCACGGTCTGCGCTGGCGGTGAAGTCCAATGATATCTCCGAACTCGATGTATTGAAAGTTGCAACGTTTGTGCTAGGTTTTTCAATTTTTATAGCTGTAATGAGAAAAATCAAACCTGTTTTGGGTGTCAACGTCTGGTATATGAAGATTATTTTATATTAATTCTGAATATCAAGAACATAAAACAAAAAAATAATATTTGTATTTGAATAGAAATATAAACTAACGTCTATTCATCAAACCAATAAAAATAGTTTGAGGCTCATTTGGAGTTCGCATTACTGCAATTCTGAACACGAAATAATCTTTTTCACCCAATTCATTTTGAAAGATTTTCGATGTGAGTTTTTTTCTCTCAATTCATTAAATATCTTTCTTAAAAAATACAAGCTTGTCATTTTCAATAAAAAGTTGAAAGTAGAAGTAAAGTACATACCTAAAAACATATCGTACGTATATCTGGAAAATATTATATATCATTATAATTATGTCCCGAAAGCTACTGCATTTGGTCAAATTTAGCTTATGAATTGTTAATATATGTTTTCAAGAAAAACGACTATTAACCTATATTTTTTCCTTCTATTTCTATTTTTTCGCCAGGTGTTAGATTTTCTCCGACGGCGTCGCCTAAGCTACCCACAATTGAAAACATGCTGCTTGCATCTGTGCCCTGCAAAAAATGAAGACATTTGATCGTTAGTTACAAAATCATAGTGAAAGATGAAAGCGATAATACTTCATCAGACTCTGAATGTCAATGAGAAAAAAGCCACTATTTATACTGAAAACTGGTGTAATTTAATATCATTAACGCAAAAGTTTACTTAACATGTGTCGACAAATATGATAATCAGGAGAACCAGTGGAGTGAAAAATACAGATCACGATATTTTGTGTCATTAACGCAATATTAAGGCGTTTTACACACCTGCAGTAGTTTAGACAACATAGATTTAAACATGTTTGGCCCCTTGTATCACTGATGAGTCCTAGAACGACGAAGCAGTTGTATGATGCGGTGTAATTCATTTTAAAATATTGCATCTATGAAATCTATTTATTATTATCTATTAAAGGTCTAATCACCTGTGTGTTTGTTACGTTCAACTAACTAAAGAATGATTTAATATTACCAAAAAGAAAAGAATGACAAACAGAGGTTATACAAAATGTGTATTCAGGGAAATTTCATTACAGAAAGAATATCATAATTAAGATACGTTTGTGATAATGTATACCTAAAAGCCTGCTTTTTAATTATTTTCTATAAAAAAAAATCTTTCCTGGGGGAAATCGGAAGTCCATTTTTCATCACTTTTTTAGGTTAATATAACCACATGTTCACCTCAATCCAAGTCCATAATTGATTAACACGAAATATATAGACAGGGAAAACAGATATAAAATGATATAAACCAGACACGTTATTGTATATATATTACATACCGTGTCAACTTGTGTCCACGCGTCTTCTGTATCTTGTGAAAGCATTTCATCAATAATACCTACAAATTTCTAAAACGAAAAATAATTTTAAATATGGCGTATACTCTTTGCAGAAATTATTGCCAACCAATATGTTCCATAGATGTTGTATATAGTAAAAACAGTAGAGTTTTTACTTTTAAAGAACTCTGTGAATTATATAGGATTGTTGCTGTTGATTTTTTTCACAAAGTTTTTATTAGAAAGATGTTATAAGTAAGCTTGTACAATATTTTTATGAATTATAATAAAGTACTTTGTATAATAAAATAAAATACACACCGTTTCGTTAACTGTGACGTTATTTCCAAGAATATCGACCATTTTTGCAAGTATGGCGGTGGTCTTGATGAGATCACCAGGAGACAGAGACTCGCTACTGTTGGCAGAAGTAACATTTAAAATCGCGTCTATGACGTTTTCGATCACTGCCGTTTTTTCCACATCATTTCCATCTGCCAAGGCATTGTCCAGCTGTACAATAATGATTACAAATCAAATACCATTTTTCGTCAAGAAAAAATATAAATAACTCGCATAACAAAAATGTATTGGACACAAGGATTGAAACATATTTCCGTCAAATATTGAAACAGGTCTACACCGTGTATCATGAAGACAAATATTGAATGTTTTGCAAATTAGAAAGATTATTTTCACATTTGAAGTATTGATATTGATATTGCTTATAAGCATTTTTATTGGATAATTACCTTCTTAACATTTTATTAATATCAAAACAATATGTGCATCACGAATATTTACATGCTGTGTAACAACTGACAATTGTTTAATGTATACTAAGGAAAATGTCATTTGCCTCGAGAGATGCAGGCTGACGATGATATCAAAGGGCCTATTCCGCATATGATCACTTCCTGAATAGATAACGACTGCTGACGGGCAACCTTACATGTACTCAGGAAGTATTAAGGACGAATGTTGATACCGACAATGGTCTATGGTTTTATGATCACCATTATTAACATATTGGGAAAATGCTGAAATTATGCCATTGCATTGTTTGACATGAGAGTCAATGTTTCATAGCATGCTCATTGGTGTGCCATGTTGTTTCGATGCTCCTACCTCGGTTCTCACGTTTAGGACGTGACATTTCTTGTATTTGACTTACAATGTACATTGACATGATAGATGACGGAGCAGGAAAAGATTCTTATCCTTACAGCTTGGTTTTATTTTACTTTTACTTTTTTCAATGATCTCCAAGTAATTTTGCTATTTTTACCGGTTTTGGGTGCAAACTATTGTTGTGTTGACGCTTATGTGTTCTTCTGACTTTTAGACAAATAATATGTGTTATATAAGATATTTACGATATCGTTTTTACACAGCACATCAATATACATGTCTACGCTTTTATATACAGTCTTCATACCTTGCCTTTCAACATACAAGACATTCATGTGTTTTGAAGTAATCTGATTAGAACTTGAACCCAAGACCGCCTGCCGATGTCAAGACTAACCTGTTGGGAGGAAGCGACTATTTAGTATTATACGTACCTCTTCCTCTGCTTGTATTAGTTCCTCTCTGACACATTTTGTCATAATGATGTCACCCCATTTTCCGTTATTACAATGTCGTGTTACTTTTCCTATAAGTAAGAAATTACCACACAATCAAATTGAAAGGAACATTAATTCATCTTGTGCTTAATGTTGATTTCAACCAAATCTTTTAAAATGATCCTCTCCGTTTATGCAAAGAAGATATTCAAGTAAGTTTTTTATCCAGAATATCTATTCTTAATCCGACAGTAACACTACCTACCCACACAATTCTTAAATCTACGCATGTTCGTGAAAGCAAACAAAATTAACAATCTGACCTATATGTAAGATTAGAAATACACACTCAAAATTACTTCATCTAGATATCCATATTTACTCAAATCACTGCTATATGAATTTTAAGTTAGAATTTTTTTATTTCACACACAATATAATGAATTGAAATTTAATAAAAAGGGACCTACCTGCGAATGGATTGGGACAAGGCTGTTCATTTGTAAAATTATGTGGACTTTTTGGCCACTGAATATTAATATGCTCATCGGTTTCTGCGTCACAAAAGTTATCTGCAAATAATGTTGAATGTCAATCGAGATAGTTTTTGTTATTGTATACATTTGTAACATAAAATGTCCGCTGCGTAAAAACATTCATGTTATTGAACCAAGATAATAAATACAAAGAATTTAATTACTTGACTACTTTTTTTATGGATTGTCCACAAATGTTTACCCCCGAAACTACCTACATGTAAATGGCTTAACATAACGAACGAAAATGCCCGAGAAAAATTCCATGTTATTTTTTAATATTTCTGACGATGTTTGAGAAATGATCATAACGACATAACTGTCAGATATCGCAAGTTAAATGTCTATGTTGAAGACGCCATACTTTTTATATTTAATACATTGGTAAGTCATTACATTTTAATTCTTTGTACTTTTTACAACTTAACTACTGTCACTTACCTTGGTTTTGGTCGAATACTTTAATTCTGCTTACTAGACCCTCAATATTACATGTGCCGTTGACACTACAGCTGTAGTTCCCGCTCATCGCTATCGTTAATTGTGTTAGTCGAAGTAATGAATCAGCTCCTCCAGATTCAATGTGCCGTGTATCTGGTGTCCATAACAATAATATATTTCAAATGTTAAAATGTTCAAAAATTTATCAATGGAAGTGGACGAAGGAAAAGTAACAATAATAATATATCTAGTTATAAATTAAAAATGTTTGATTATATTGGGTCTGTTTCCGAATTTCTAGTATCACCCTAAGACCATATCTTCAAATCTTTACAAAACCATGTGTCACCGTTTAATAGTTTTCTTTCTAGTATTCATATGTTATCATTTTGTTTAATCGATAATTGAATTAGTCATGGAATGTATTAAACAAATCAATTGATAACAATGACGATACCCGTGATTACATCTGTGTTAAAACACCATGTAAAGTTCCATCCGGTATTGTTGATTCTATCCACGTTTGTTATGTTGCATGTTATGTTGATAGATTCTAGTTCTTGAACTGCCTTAGATAGAGGAGAAATCTCCAAAACAGGCAACGGTTGGACTGTTATATTAAATACCACGCTGCTGTTTCCCATGTGACAAGACATCTTCCCTACAAATGAATAATACAGTTATTCATTCATCAGCTAATGCAACAAACTTAAATGGGGTTTTTTGGCTTAAAATACTCTTCCCTGTGAGGTTATTCATGAATAACCTCACAGGCGAAAGTATTTAAGCAAAACAAAATTGAACCTTTTTTAACCTGAATTGAACCATGTTTCCATTTAAAAGCATATATGTTTACAACAGCATCCGTAAGTGCGCAAAAACATACAGAACAAAAGCAAATACTATGATGATAAAAATAAAAGATAAATACCTGCGTCAATATGTGACAAAGAAGAAACATCCATTTGTGAAGTGTTATCCATGTATGTTATTGTGATCTTCGTGCTGTTTTGATATCTAACGAAGCCCCCAATACGCCATTCAGTTTTCTTGCAGTTTCCGTTGTTTTCAAAGCCACAGCTTAATGACAGTGTACCGTTTTCCTTTGGTACAGTTGGTGACATTTTGTATGATTTCGATGAAGCTATGCAACCTAAAATACCAAAAATGTAGCTTAAAAGTTTATATGTAAAATACAGATTATATTTGTCGACCATCATGTTATACTGGCCAGGCGTCTCAAAACGCCTTAAATACAGTTATATTTTCATTTCCACTGCAAGTTCCTCCATAAGAAATTGTGTTGTTTGGGCTATAAACGCAATAGGATCAGCGTCATTTAGAAGCTTCTCCTCCCGCTTCGAATAACATGACAACCAATAGAAGCGACTATTTTGATGACGTTAGGCTGTTTCATGAATTTCGTTTACACTGACACAAAACCACTTCGATTGCAAACCGGTTACATGCATATTCCATGAAGCCCCTAACGGGCTTTATTGAAAATACAGTGAAACCCCACTTACTCAAACTGGCATAACTCGAATACCCCTATTTTTTAATAGTTTGCTTGGTCTCGACCGTGCTCTTATATATTCCTTGTAAGTTAATCTCGAATTACTCGAACTCGAACAATGATTTATCCCCAACCACTCAAAACCGTATTATTTTATCTATGCATTTGTTGAATAGGTAGGCATACCCGCGTGTATCGCCGCGTGCCATCGATATGCCTCAAGGCACAGACTGCGGTCCACGCTCATTGTGTTTATAGTTAGAGGTTCAATGGTATTTTGACATCGATGATTTGACGGAAGTGTTAATTCACTGGGTGTGTAAAACCATATTTCGGCATGGCAATATTGAGTGGAAATCACATAGGGGATTCTCGACCATCTTCAAAGATATTCACACCTGAATATGTTTTGATTATTAGTTTCGTTGTCAATCAACATTATGATAACAGGGATTCAAGATTTTCTTCATTTTAAAATGATCGAAGAGTTCCTCTCGTTTTGATATTTTGTAAAATTAGCGTAGCCGATTACAGTATGGCGGACTATGTCAAAACGACAATAACGTTACACATGCAGTACTTTCATTTCAATTTTATATATTTTCATTGTTCAGCTATTTTATAATGATTATAATTAAAGATTCTCATATACCGCTTTATTACAATCCAATTCGTAGGTCGTCTAAAGGCGGTTCACAAATAATTATCCGTGGTTATAGGGACTTTGCAACCAGCCAATATCTTTCTCAACTCCCTAGGGAGCATACATCCGGCGCTCACAGCTAGCATTCAACAATTCTTGCACTGCCCTACCACGTACTCATTTACAGCTAAGTTGACTGGAACAAGCGGAGTAAAGTATCTTGCGCAAAGATACAACACAGTGCCCTGCCGTGACTCGAACCCGGCATCCTACTTCTATCATCTACCATCCGCGATATTTGCAGTTCTCGTACTGTCCCTCGCCCCACTTAATAAAAAAAAAGACGATGTCGGTCGAATCTCAGATTCGTCGAATACCATGTATTCCTCGAACTATTGATCTGGAGCCTAAGAGTTCAAGTTAGCGGGGTTTTACTGTATCCAATGAGCGTTCACACCAGCATGAATGCCGTTGATACCTTATATACATAACACAAAACGTCATTTCTTAATCAATTTGGACACCAACGTCATTTATTTAGTTTTTTGGACCCCAAACAACAATTTATGGGGTTAAATGGGTACTAAAAGTATTTTATTAAGTAACACTGTTACCAAACGTCATTTATAAAGTTACACTGTTACCAACTTCATTTGTAAAGTTATATGGACTTCATTTGAAAAAGATGTATAGGCAGCAGACGTTTTTTATAGAGCTAAATGGACACTAAATATTTGTATTGACCCTACTCATTTTGCATAACGATTTTCACTTTCGTTTTTCTTAAGATTAAGACATTATTATATTTAGATAAACGATATTTGAATAAAACGTAAAGTCATGATAGAAAACTGCAACAGAAATAACAATCTGGGTATTCTATGATAGTTCATACCTACCAGGGTTGGATGTTGATGTTGAGGTCGGATCAGGTGATGTCGGTATTGGAGTCGGAAGAGATGATATCGATGTTGAGGTTGGACCAGACGCAGTTATAGTCGAGGTTGGATCTGAACTGATCAAAGATGCAGGTGTAGCGGATAAAATCGTTGTTGAGGATGGAATAGAGGATAGCAACGTTGACGTTTGAGCCGATGACATCAATTGTGAAGTCAAAGCCGATAATATCGTTGTTAACGATGCAGTTGAAGCTGATGATATCGGTGTTGAGGACAGGGCTGTTGACAACTCAGTTGAAGTTGGAGATGAGGAAATCAACGATACAGTTTCAGCCGGAGAGACCGCTGTTTCGGTCAGACCTGATGTTAACTCAGTTGAGGTCGGAAATGAAGAAATAAGTGTTGAGTTCAAAAATGAAGATGGCGTTATAAACATTTGGCTGGAAATTGTTGATGTTGTTGCATCTGAGTAAATCGGGTGTGACGTCGAATCAAAATATACCATCGATTCAGTTTCAAATAAGGATATCGATGTTGAGATTGGGGCTAAAGATGTCGTTATCGTTGTAAGTGCCAAGGAAAACAACGATGCAGTTTCAGCTCGGGATATCGGTGTTGAGGCGAGGCCTATTGATAACTCAATTGACCTTGGATATGAAAATATCAAAGATGCAGTTTCACTTCTGGATATCGGTGTCGACGCCGGGGCTGTTGATAATTCAGCTGATGTGAGAGATGAAGATATCAACGAAGCAGTTTCAGTCGAGAAAATTGGTGTTAAGGTCAGACCTAATGATAAGTCATTTGAGGTTGGATATGAAGAAATCAACGTTGACGTTTCAGCAGGAGAGACAGTAATTGAGGCGAAGCTTGTTGATAACTTAATTGACATTGGAGAAGAAGATATCAACGAAGCAGTTTCATCAATGGATATCGGTGACGACGTCAGGGCTGTTGATAACTCATCTGATTTTAGGGAAGAATATATCAACGAAGCTGTGTCAGAC